GCTTTGAGACATCTCGTGATAAGGCGCTATATCAAATGCAAGGATTATTATTATTATTATTTTGGTTGCACTCACCTCTGACTTCGCCTCAATTTATTAAGAGTAGATATTACTATTGAGTTGAAGACCAGCCAGTGGAACCAATTCAAATGCTAATTCCTAAAGTGTTATTTAGATCGTTGATTACATTCAGATCAATTACGTTTAAAGTGAATCAAAATCAAACCATGAGTCTTCAATGGAAACCTAAAAAATTACAGAATATTAGAAGTTCTGCCTCTGTTGAAAATTAGAAGTTCAACATAGGCAGAGACAGAGAGGACAAAAACAGTGTGGTACAATAGTACATTGTAATGGTACAATTTCTTAGTTCCTGCTGTAGTCATTGTTTATTTGGGGTTTTGTCCGATGATCTGCACCATTTGTTTTACGAAATGAAGCTGATCCCAATTGACTGCCTGTTTGCCGGATCTCTCCTGTGTACGGAATATAATAATAATCCTTGCATTTGATATAGAGCCTTATCACGTCTTCGACACGTCACAAAGCACATTTAACAACTCACATTTAAATAGCATCGTTCACATCAGGCGGATGTTTCAAAGCGCTTAACGTTGTTGGTTGGACACCGGAGCTCTGTAGAAGCAGAAAGATGACCAAACGCATGGTCCAAGAGACGGGCTTGTGCCTTGTGACAGACCTTGAATGAACGGAATGAGGGAGTGAGTCGGAGAGACTCCGGGATGGAATTCCACAGAGCGGAAAGTCTTAGCTGGACAACTGCTGTGTGCAATCGGCTGCTGCGTTTCGGCCCCAAAATATAAAGTAAATTTACTTTACAGTATATTATGTAAAGTGTTTTGAGACGTCTCAAAGATGTGCTAAGGCGCTATGTCATATGCAAGGATTATTATTATTGTGACACTTTGTGAAATCTACTGGAACTTTACAAACAATGAAAAATCCCGAACACAAAAGGCGGCTATTATTGTAAAGGAACAACGTGCAGTGAACAGATTGCGATTTTGATGTTAACTTGGTTTAAGAGATCCCTACAGCCAAAAGTGAAGTTGTCAGATGTTGTGAATCATGTGGTTGATTATCTACTTCAAATGTTACATATCGTGTTACATTGTCGAGAATCCAATGAAGTTATTACATTGCGGATGCTATTATACCATTTATAGTAATTACACCCCATCTCCAGGCTATCAGGCTTCCTGGCACCACTGTTACAGCAGTCAACAACAACAGCTTGCGCCTGGAGTAACATGTCGAAGTGCGTTATAATCCTTACATTTGAGATAATACCTTTCACTTCAGAAGGACATCTCTAAGCGATCTGGGACGCTACCCTGCATGAGGGGCGCTATATAAATGCAAGTTGTTGCTTCACAGGATTTACTGCAAAGTGTTGTGACTGTCAGTTTTGTAGGTTTTAAGTGATTTGTGCCAAACACTGAACAGGGAGGGCTAGCTGAAAGAGGTAGGTTTACAGGAGGCTTTCAAGGACAGATATAGAGTGCATGAGACGGAGGGATTTAGGGAGCGAATTACAAAAGATGGGGACAAAGTGGCTAAAGGTTTGACAGGGGGGAGAAGGCTATGAACTCGAGTTTTTCAAGTAGGAGAGCGAGAAGATGACAGAGGTCGGGAAAGATGATGGAGAAGATGACAGAGGTCGGGAAAGGTGAGGCACTGTCAGGATTTATGGATAAAAGTGAGGATCCTTGAAGTTATTTGAATAACATGCTCATAATTTTGCCCACAAAACATAGTCAATTCACTTTACAGTATATTCTGTGACGGTTTTGAGACGTCTAGAAGACGTGATAAGGTACTATATCAAATGCAAGGATTATTATTATAATTTGTGCTTCTTCTGTTCAATTTCAGAAACGTCCCCAGCTCCTCTGCCAAGTTGCTGAATCATTTTTTTGTTTGTTCTTTCGCCTTTTGTAGACTCCCTCCCAATCTGCCGTGGCCTTTTGATAAAAAATGTAACACTTCCATGCACAGAGTTCTCAAATTATGCAACTTGCACTGGCTTGACAGACAATCACAGTCCCGCAGCCCTATATTCTTGTTGAACTGTGCTGGCTCTACGGTCGTCTATCTCCGTTTGAGTTGGTTCAGCATGTTAAATCATTAATGATCCACACAGGACACCGTTTTCCCCCATAAGCAACTGCAGAACAATTTGCTACAGAGCTCTAATGGTGCCTTCTAAACCATTAAACATTCTGTGTGAAAATTGCCACCGACAAGGAGATGTTGAACTTTCAGTCCAATGCGGTGACCAAAACCACTAACCAAAAGACATAATATCTTCCCCAGTGAACACAATCACACGATACTCTTCTTCAATGCACGCAAACCCACGCAAAATATCCTTTCTTCCCCAATGTGCATATACACATATTTTCCCTAGCACGCATACCCATAGTACAAGTAAACACACACAAAAAACCATAGAAACACAACACAATTATCTAAACTGGAGTTTAAGAGGAACGTCTTTCCTCAAGAGGGTGGAGAGAATGTGGAATTCACTAACGGAAGCTGTGGTTGAAACAGAAAACATCAACATATTTTAGAGGGAAGTTAATGCACACATGAGGGTGAAAGGAATAGAGGGGATTAGGAAGGATGCAAGCTTATCTGGAGTATAATTTTGCATTTATTTTGCAGTCCGTTGACCTCCCTCTCGCTCTCCTCACTTGCCCCTTTGGCTAAACTATAGCATTCCAGGATGCTACTCCGCATGAGGAGCACTATATAAATACAAGTTGTTGTTGTTATAATAAATAACTTCACAGACCAGTTGGGCTGAATGGCTCATTTCCGTGCTGTATTGGACTATGCAATTTTATGTAAAAATACACAGATACTAGGGAAGACAGTTCAAGGGTTTAATCTAAATGTTTAGCATTCAGGTGACACGATCAACCACTCCAGTTATGTCCTCACATTTTATAATGTGATCTGATATACTTGAGTATATTCTCATCGCTCAGTCTCACTGCCCATAAATCTCCAGTATAGAATATGAAATTCTTGAACGAGTGTACAGCCATAATTCAACCTCAGGACTTCTGGTATCTTTGCCATTTAAAATGTCATCAAAGTCAATAAACTCCTTAAACATTAAATAGCAAATTTCTAGTTTGGATTGCCTACCATTTGCCCTAGTGAATCGCAACCAATTTAGTTCCGGCTGAACACTATTCTGTACTAGCCCCTTAGCTCAAAGCTGCAACATAATTCTAGCCTTTGATATAGTACTTATCACATCACGCGGACATCCCAAATAGATTCATAGGATTTAAGGTAAAGTTAGTTACTGTGTATTTTGTAGACGGACACAGCAGCCAATTACTTTGCCTATAGCAAAGCCCCACAAGCAGCCTCAAAGTTGTTGACCAACTTTTTTTTTCCTCTTTGGGGATCGTTTCGCCCCCAAAAAATACAGTCAATTCAGTTTACAATATATTCTGTGAAGCGCTTTGAGACGTCTCAACGATGTGATAAGACCCTATATCAAATGCAAGAATTACTATTATTTTTATTATTGTTGTCCAGGACATTGGGAGAAACTCCCCTTTTTCTCCCTCGCCCCCAATAGTGCCAATGATCTGCCCCTGTTTATTTTGCAGTCTCTGCGCCTTCCTCTCGCTCTCCTCACTTGCCGCCTTTGGCTAAACTAAAATATTCTCAACGATGTGCCATCGTAAATCAACGATTGTAAAAGAATTACAAGACGGTGTCTGCACATAACTTCCAAAGATCACAAAATAAAAAGTTACAAAACCACTTCCATTTAAATTGTCCTCCCCATCTACCCATTACAATTCTCTGTTGATTTAGATTATTTGTTTAAGTGCAGGTTTAGGAATTACTGTTCAAGCGTTTAGACTTCCAAGAAAACTAATTATTTCGTATGGAGTCTCTCTCTCAGTAGGATATTAAGTCCGGATTCTGAGGAATGAAAACTAAATCCAAGCCCCCAAATCCAGGCTCACGACAACTCCCATCACCTGCATTGGAAACACTCCACGTCAGCACCTTTCCTGTGAGGGTGGATACTCTCTAATGAGAGATACAACAACAACAAGATTACATTTGTATAGTGCCTTTCACGTTGGGAGGATAAAACTAGGCTTGCACACACAGGCTTGCACACACAATTAATACTGGAGTCGCCGCCAGCCTTGGTAGCTGGGTGTCTGACACATCCACAAACCTATTACCATGCTAAAGGGTATCTAAACCAGACAGAGTTCCTTTCCTCCCCATTGAAATTTTACCTGTATTGGGAACGGAATAAGCACTCTCTCCCTGGAGGGAAGAACCCTGCCCTTTCAAATCCCAGAGAATATTAGGCGCAGGTTGGACAAAGCCAAGATTTGGGGACCTGAGAGTATGTATTGGGGTAACTGCTGGAGTTTAACTAGCTAAAGCTACACAGCTTACTTGCATCTTAGCACGAAACACGGGACAATGGAAGTAGTTGAAGACAATCAGTACCTCTGACTGCTGTCATCATCTGGCTGGAGGTGCACACTTTGGGGACTGAAACCACTAACGTGACTGCAGGAAACAATAAGCAATTGCATGGTGGTCTTCACCACAGATGCAGGACACTTCAGTCACTTAAACTTGTATCAAAGACTTGGCTTCAACCAGTTTTACATGTTTATATCTGCGTGTGTGTGTGTATGCGCGCGTATGTATATGTAACACAAGATAAACACAGTCACATTGTGCAGAACAGGAAATTAGAAACTCTCTACTATCAGGCAAATGTGGTTATTTAATTTCCTTTTTATACAGGATCATAAATTGCAATAAACCGCGCAGTCTCCAGAAAGACCAGGTTAAATAATTCAATCTGTGCAGTGACCTGCATTTTACAGAGAAAGTTTCCTCAGTGACAAACAATACTGAATCGCAGAGAGAGAGAGAGCAAGAGCATTGCATTTCTGAGACTGAAGTCTTACCTGACATGGTTATCACAGAATTTATTTATCTGAGGCAGGTTGATGTTAATAACGCGGGTTGTGGTGTCCAGCTCTGTAGATGTGGTTCCAGACATCTCATCATCAGCCTTCTCGTAGCCGGAGTTCGAACAACTGGGCCCTAGTGTTTAGACCAGAAAGAAGCTGCTCAGTAACTGGGAGCAAACAGAATTAATGTTCTCACATGTTGAAAGTTTGATAAAAGCGTCCGGATGCACTTGCGGGCAGTGGAAGACTGGTGTGGTGTGTGTGTGTGGGGCGGGGGGGTAAAAGAGGTAGGGAGCAATGAAAGCAGACAATTAACCTGCTGTGAATGGCACAATGCCTGATGAACAATGACTGACAAGGCACGCTTTGTTCAGTGCCTGAGGAGCACCCACGCACACACAGCTATCAGCAGCCTTTCAGGTTTACAATTAATACATCACCTTCAGAGCAACAAAGGGAGCACCAGTACAAAACAAATCACAATCGTTAGGCCAATGCGAGCACAGCTTGTGATGGATGTACAAGCTGTACCAATAAATTGCCGGTGTCCCCTCCAGATAAATGGTTGCTTCACAAGAACACGCCCGACGAGGTATTTCTTCAGTCAATGAGCATAATGAATTATGCAAGCTGATAAGAGCCACTAAAACGAACAACTAATGTAATATTAAGGGGTTCCCACGAACTCTTGGGATCTGCCGACAGCAATCTCACTGCAGCTCATGCCGAACAGCCCATCTGTCAGTTCTGTACTCGGCTACGAGGCAGATGCAATAATCATCTCGCTCATGACTAACAAAGTAATAGATCTATAGAGACTGGATGTTTCACTGAAGCAAATGTAAATATAACTGATGCGACCTTTCCGATCATTTCATTCAGCACTTAATAATCCTTGCATTGAATAATAATCCTTGCAATTAATAATAATCCTTGCATTTGGATATAGCACCTTATCATGTCATCAACACGTCATGTAAAGTGAAATGACTGTGTATTTTGTGGGCGAAACGTGGCAGTTAATTGCGCACCATAGTGTCCCACAAACAGTTGTGGATTGAATGACCAAAAAATTATTGTTTTTATTTGGGGGAGGAATTATTATCCCCAGAAAGCAAGCGAGACTTGCAGGAACAGATGTATGTGGGTGTACGTACACACACAGAGTGGGTTGAGAGGGCAGTGAGGAGAGGCTTGTTGCATTTTGAAGCTGAGCTAAATCAGTGTGTCCTTGAAGGTGGCAGGACAGGTTGAAAGAGCTGTTAAAAAAGCAGATCCTTGGCTTTATAAATAGAGGCATAGAGTACAAAGGCAAGGAAGTTCTGCTAAACCTTTATAAGCCACTGTTAGGCCTCAGCTAAAATATTGTGTCCAATTCTGGGCACCACACTATCAGCGTCTTGGGACGTCCTCCCAACGTGAAAGGCGCTCCATAAATGTAATTTTGTTGTTGTTGTTGTCCAACACCCCTGGAGAGGGTGCAGAGGAGATTTAACAGGATGGTACCAGGGATGAGGGACTTTACTTTATGTGGAAAGACTAGAAAATATGGGATTGTTCTCCTTAGAGTATAGAAGGTTAAGGGGTGATTTAATAGAGATGTTCAAAATTATGAAGGTTTTGTGGAGTAGATAGGGGGAAACTGTTTCCACTGGCAGATGGGTCGGTAACCAAGGGACATAAGATTTAAGATAATTGGCAAAAGAACCAGGGGGGAGATGAGGAGACTTTTTTTTCACATAGAGAGTTGTTATGGTCTGGAATGCACTGCCTGAAAGGTGGTGAAAAACAGATTTAATAACAACTTTCAAAAGGGTATTGGATAGGTACTTGAAAAGGAAAAAATTTGCAAGGATATGGGGAAAAAGCTGGGGAGTGGGACTGATTGGGTAGCTCTTCCAAAGAGCCGGGACAGGCACGATGGGCCAAACGGCCTCCTTCTTTGCTGTAATATTCTATAATAATAATAATCCTTGCATTTGATATAGCGCTTTTCACGTCAGGAGGATGTCCCAAAGCGCTTCACAGAACACACTGTAAAGTGAATTGACTGTATATTTGTGGGCGAACGCGGCAGCCAATTGCGCACAGCAATGTCCCACAAACAGTCGTAGATTGAAAATGACCAATTTATTATTGTTTTGTTTTGGAGGGATTATTATTAGGCGTGTGGAGTAAGGAAACTTGCCCAAGGTTTCGCCCTGCCTGGAATTGAACTCAGGTCTCTCACTTGCAAAGCGAGTGCTCTAACCACTGAGCTACAGGACTCCACAATGATTCTATGATTCTATATCCCAATCCTGCACTGAAATGTTGGGATTCGCATGACGGCAAGTGTAAATGACAACCGACTGTTTTTTGACACAATCATTTTCACAGAATCCGTTGGGGTAGCACTGATTGGGACACCTCAGGAGCAGAATATTATCACATTAACAAACTGTAATTCCACCCCTCATGAACAATAATTAGCCTTTTAACAGGCTACATTATCTTTCCATATAGCTGATTCTTGCTATCAAGATCTGAACCTCTGGCGAACGAGCAAAGTACACTTTGTGGATTAGGTAATTCGGATCCTATTGAATTTATTTTATTTTCCCCCGGGAAGCATTTATGATTGCGAGTTGTATAAACTATCCAACCAAAAGCTACTGGGTTTTACACAGTTCACACAAACCCTCCTGAAAATATAAATAGCAGTACAAAATCCACCATCTCAAAATTCTTCTTTAGTATCATCTCACCACTTCTGCGATCGACTTCAACCTACCCACCCTGCTGCTCGCTTCACTCTGCTTCCTGTCTCTCACTATCAGCAGGTGGCATTTCAGCTATTCAGCCCACCCACCCCCACCCCTGCTTTCTGGAACCTCGCCCCGGAGTCCCTCTGACTTGTTCTATCCCTCCCCTCTTTTAACACACAAAATCCTCAAAACACACAGTCACTCTACTTCACAATATATCGTCCACAAAATGCCTCAAAGACGTGATAAGGTGCTATATCAAATGCAAGGATTATTATTATTATATCCTGTGAAAGTGCTTTGGGAAATCCTTCTGACTTGAAATGTACTATACCAAATTATTGTTGTTATAAAACATAACTCTTTGACCGTGCTTTGATCTACCCAACCCTCTCAGCTCCCACTTCTTGCTCAGGTGCCCATCAAGCCATGCGAATGTGCTTTCGGACATCCTCTTGACTTTACATTATAAAGTGCCAAATTACCCAGGTCTAGAAACGCAGCCTAGACTGTAACTCAAAGCCCCATTGTGGGGCATGAACCCACAACCTTCTGACTCAGAGACGAGAGTGTTACCAACTGAGCCAGGCTGGTTCCAGAAGTAAATCACGCTGATCAGCTAGAACTCTGCTCTGACACTATCTAGTTCCAGAATGGCGTTCCCATGGAATTCTGGTGGCAATTCTTAACTAGGAAAGCAGTAAGCTAAGAAATACCTTAAATTACATCTCATTATTTCTCCAACATAATAATTAATATCAAGGGTTGCCTCGATTCTTATTTTTGAAAACTACAAAAGGAGTTACAAACGTCTTGCTTTAGGCTGAGCACACCCTCCACCAAATAAGTGATGTGTCTGTGCCAAACAGATAACGTCACGGAGACATCCAGACACTGGGAAAAATAACCCTCAATTGTTACCGAAACTTTGAAGAATTTTACATCTAATAATAATAATTCTTGCATTTGATATCGCGCCTCATCATGTCGTTGAAACATCTGAAAACCCTTCACTGAGTATACTCTAAAGTGAATTGACCACATATTTTGTGGGCGAAACACGGCAGCCAATTGCACACAGGAGTGTCCCACAGACAGTTGTGGATCTCTTTTTAAGAAATATTTTTTTCCCATTTGCCGGGTGCTAGATGACTGCAAAAACTATCACCATGCTCAAGAGTCTCCAAACCGAGCAATACAATACAAATTTATATTTATACAATACCTTTCACATTGGGAGGACATCCTAAGGTGCCCAAACGACTGCGAATTGAACATATCTGAAGGAACACATCTAATTTCTGTTTCTGTTTACCTCATATGGGCTATGCACTCTGTGACACGGACACATCCTGTTTACCTAACCCCAGAGAATTTAGATGCAGGTTGGCAATAAACAAAGCTTGGAGACCCAGAATAGGATCCTGCTGGAGTTTAACCAGCGAAAGCCAAAAAGCCTACTATTACAGAGCACTGGTAGACTCCCCACCTCTTGTCCAGCTAGGACCAGTCTACTGGTTTATGTTTTGACTTGCAGGGTTATTAGGAACTGAGTGGGAAGAATCCCAGCCCCAGAGATTGATCTGCTCCTTCAAGTCCTACCCTCAAGCGAGGTTTGCTGGTCCATCATCAATTGTGCCCTGAAGTCTTACAGACCTGCCTGGCTCAGGTATCGGATTATTGAGACTATCACAGAGGATCAAATTGATTCTGCTCTTCCATTGCCAGGTGTGTCAACTTGGAGCCAATTCAGTTCCAAAGAGACCTCCGTTACATGCTTCCCAAAGCAAATAGTCACTCATTGTTTTTTTTAAAAAATACCATTCCATAACAATAACGAATTACATTTGTACAGACGCCTTTCACATCGGGAGGATGTCCCAAAGTGCTGGACAGTCAAGAATATGCACCCGAGCTGGGGATTGGAATCAGGAGGGGTGTAAGGCAGAGTGGGTAACCAAAGGTGCAGTCGAAGAGGATGGTCTTAAAGGTGGCAAGGGAGGGGGCGAGGCAAAAGGACTGTGGGGCCCGACAGCCGATGATGGGGTGGGCAGGGCGGGGGATGTGGAGCTGGCCAGAGTCCGCCGAGTGGAGGGAGTGAACAGGCCGGTGTGGGGTTAGCAGGTCACAGAGGTAGGAAGAACAAGGCCGTAGAGGGCTTTGAAAGCAAGGGCAAGAACAACTTGCATTTATATAGCACCCTTCATGCAGGGTAGCGTCCCGGAGGCCAAGGATTTTGAACTCAATCTGTGGAATTTCTCTAGTACATTTCCATATTTCTGAGAAAAAGCTGTAGAGACGACATCCTCTAAATTTCACAAATTTCACTTCTGTATTTGGTAAAACTCCAATCAAGATCAGGCTTTCCCCTGCCAGACCAGCACACCGGTGATATCAACAGATCGAGGTCACATTAATAATAAATAATAATCCTTGCATTTGATATAGCGCTTTTCACGTCTTCCTGACATCTCAAAGTGCTTCACAGAATATGCTATAAATGAATTCACCGTATATTTGTTGTGGGCGAAACGCGGCAGACAATTGCCCACAGCAATGTCCCACAAACAGTCGTGGATTGAAAATGATCAACTTATTATTGTTTTTTTTGGGGTGGGATTATTATTAGGCGCGTGGAGTAAGGAAACTTGCCCAAGGTTTCGTCCTGCCTGGGATTGAACCCAGCTGTCTTGCTTGCAAGCAAGTGCTCTAACCACTGAGCTACAGGACTCCACATTCCGTTGACATCAAGATTAGCCTTGGATGATATTGCATTGGCTGGAACTGCACTTTCCCTTGTGGGACATGGATTTCTGGGAAGGTTGAAAGCGGTTTGCTGACATGAATGTATGAGTTCTCATCCAGTTCCTAACCGGTGGGGGGGGGGGGGGGGGGGGGGAGTGGGCGCGGGGGGAAATTATTATTCATAGCACAGAATTGCCATACTTCAGGAATATGGTTTATTCACCACACACAAGCTCGGGCATCTCAAAGCGCTTTACACAGCCAGATGAGTTATATAACTCATAGTACTGTAATGCTGGTGGACTAGTTTTTTTACTGAATTTGGTTATAAGTTATATTATTGCCTATTGTCATTCACTTCATGGCTGTTGTTGCAAATTGGCTCCCAAGTTCACCTAGAAAATACACAGTCATTATACTTTACAGTAAATCTCAGTCTGGTTTTGCATACTCTTAAGCACGGTGATGGGTTTCTGCATGTTAGGCACCTGGCTAACAAAAAATAGCACAGTGCAAATGTAATCCAGAATACAAAACCACTGCAATGTCTTAAACAAAAACAGAAGTCGCTGGGAACACTCAGCAGGTCAGGCAGCATCTGTGGAGAAAGGAAAGTGAGTCAATGTTTCGGGTCCACGACCCTTCGTCAGAACTGTAATGTCTTGCCTCGTCTCGTTAGCCACCAACAGTGAAATAACAATGATTATACAGCTAGAATTAAAAAAACACAACAGTAATAATAATAGTGTAATATACATTCATTAACTGCACAACATTGAAAAGTAAGGTCGCCAGCTAAGAATCAGGAGTAAAGCTTGATTACTGGCTTCCCATCACACAGAGGATAAGTTCAAGTTCCTGGTCCTCACCTTCAAAGCCCTTCATGGTCTTGCTCCCCCCTACCTCTGCGACCTCCTAACCCCCTACCATCCTGCTTGCTCCCTCCACTCAGCGGGCTCTGGCCTCCACCACCTGGCTCACCCCACGATTGGCGGGCGGACCTTCTGCCACTCTGTCCCCTACCTCTGAAATTCTATCCCGCCTCGCCCACTCCCTTGCCTCCTTCAAGACCCATCTCAAGACCCTCGTCTTTGACCGTGCCTTTGATCATCCTGCTTCCCCCCCCGCCCTCCACCCACCCCGATCCCGATCCCCAACTCGGGTCCGAAACTCTGTCTGGCCAGCACTTTGGGACGTCCTCCCGACATGAAAGGCGCTATACAAATGTAATTTTGTTGTTGTTGTTGTTGATTACCAGCAACAACAACAACAATAACTTGCATTTATATAGCATCCTTCACTGGAGTCCTGTAGCTCACTAGTTTGAGCTTCCCAGTAGGACGAAATATTGGGCAAGTTTCCTTACTCCTCATGCCTCTGTTTATCTAGCAGTAATTAGGAACCTGGTTGTTAGTTGATTGGCGGATCGCTTTTTCGGGGGCAATAATTCCTTCAAATAATAATAATAAATTGGTCACTCAATCCACAACTGTTTGTGGGACACTGTTGTGCGCAATTGGCTGCTGCGTTTCGCCCACAAAATATACAGTCAAGTCACTTTACAGTATATTCTGTGAAGCACTTTGAGACGTCTCGACGACGCGATAAGGCGCTATATCAAAATGCAAGGATTATTATTATTCACATGACATTAAATCTTGGAAGTACTTAACAAGTGCAAGGCACTGAAGGATTGCGGTATTAGCAGGCACACGTTTAACAGACACTGAACCACAAGGGCGCTCACTATATTTCCCAGCCCATTGTCAGTGTCAACACAGAAGCAGAAAAAAAAACAATACCTTTTGAACCCCGTCTTTCCAAATGTTTAAATATCAGAGGCATGATCAGCTGAGGTCCGTTGCAATGTGCCATAACATGGAAAATGTAATCCTTCAGTGATCATCGCCAGCATTAACTGTCTCAAAATGGCTTAGACTCGGTGAAATGATAATCCACAAAAATGTTCATTTTATACTTCCTCATAATCCCCTTTAATGCACTGGAAAAAAGGGGGAACTGACTCCTGACCGTTTTTAGCTGCACCACAGGCAAAGACTCCCTCAGAAAGCTTTGGGATTTTCTGTAAAGGCTAGTTCGTTACTGAAGGACAGAGGCCGACTCTCTGCTTTGATGACAACAGTTTGCCAAAGAGATCCAGACCAGCCAATGTCTAGCCTTAACGTTTTCCTTGTAGCCCATTACACATTTACGTTGTCAGTTTTCTGCATGACCCTCTCTTTAAATCCCTCATGATATACAATAGCGATGGCCAACAGAAACCACATGCAATTTAATGTTATTAAAATGTGATATAAATATAGAATGGTAAAATGTGATATATATAGAATGGTATGGTAATCTTCAATCAGACAGTAAGTAAGATAAATCCCCTATCACTTGCAACCTAGTCACAGGGTAAAGAAGGGCTGTTTTTCAGTGTGGCTGTGTGTCAGCCAGGCACAGTGGTAGCATCTTTGGGTCACGAGTTCAAACCCCAAGTCGGGACTTGGAACCACAAAGTCTAAGATGTCACTCCGATGCATTACTGTAGGTGAGTTGCATTGTCGGAGGTGCTGTCTTTCAGATGAGGCATAAACTGAGTTGTCTGCCTGTTCAAGTGGATGTTAAAATTTCATGACACTTCTCAAAAAGAGAAGGGAGTTTCTCCCAGTGTCCAGGCCAACAAATCCCCCCACAAAAAATGTTCACTCACTCCATGGCTGTGCGCCACTGGCTGCCGTGTTCACCTACAAAATCCACAGTCAATCCAGTTTACAATAAATCCTGTGAAAAAATGCTTGGAAACGTCTCAACCACACAATGAGGCCACAATAAGGAACTAATACCAAACACAAGGATCATTATCAGAAATAAATTAGGTGCCATTCTGACTTAGCTGATAGCAGTAACAACAACTCTTTTGAGCGCAGTCCGAGGCTGACACTCCAGTGCTGTGCTCGGGGATGCCTGCATTGTTGGAGGTGCTGTCATTCAGATGAGAGATTAAACCGACTTCCTGGCTACCTGTTTAGGTGAACACTAAATATGGATAGGACCACAACTGGTGCCAGTCCCTTCTGTGTGAATGTTCAGAGACAATCAGCGAACCATCCAGCACGTACTGAAATAAAAACAGGACTTTCTGGGATAGGTACTGCAGGACTTCAGGATTTGCTAATCTCACAGTCCAGACCGACACTCCAGTGCAGTACTGGGATAGAGCTGCATTATAACAGCAACAATCCTTGAATTTGATATAGCGCGTTTTCCAGTGCCTTGGGACATCCTCCCGACGTGAAAGGCGCTCTATAAATGTAATTTTGTTGTTGTTGTTGCATCACCTCTTCGAGATGTCTCAAAGCTCTTCCCAGAATATACTGTAAAGTGAATTGACTATATTTTGTGGGTGAATCACGGCAGCCAATTGCGCACAGCAGTGTCCCACAAACAATCGTGGACTGAAGTGACCAATTTATTATTATTATTTTCTTGAAGGAATTATTACCACCGGGAAAGCGATCCACCAATCAACTAACAACCGACTTCCTACTTACGGCTAGGTAAACAGAGGCGTGTGGAGTAAGGAAACTTGCCCAACATCTCGCCCTGCCAGGAATCGAACCCAGGTCTCTCAATTGCGAGGTGAGTGCTCTAACCACTGAGCTACATGACTCCATGGATGTCTCAAAGCGCTTCACAGAATATACTATAAAGCGAATTGATTGTATGTTTTGTGAGCAAAACGTGGCAGCCAATTTCGCACAGCAGTGTCCCACAGACTATCGTGGATTGAGTGACCAAATTATTATTATTTTTAAAGTGATTACCCCCAGAAAAGCAATCCGCCAATTCGACTAACAACCAGGTTCCTACTTACTGCTAGGCAAACAGGCCTGTGGAGTAAGGAAATTTGCCCAACATTTCCCCGGCCCAGGAATTGAACCCAGATCCTCTCGCTTGCAAAGCAAGTGCTCTAACCACTAAAATATAGGACTCCATGCCTTCAGCAACTACGTCATCATTCTTTGAAACTTCCTCCCACCCTCCATCTTGCCCTCTCTGTTGGTCTTTGAAACCTACTTAAAAACCTACCTCGTCGACCATACCTACAGCCACTTCCCACGTTCTTACTCAGCAACTGACACCACCCTGTGAAGTGCTCTGAGACCTTGTCCTACGTGAAGGGTGCTACATAAATAACTTGCACCCTTCACGCAGGAAAGCACACGACATTAAAAGATTCAACAACACTATTTGAAAAGAACAACATTATTTGAAACACTTCAGATTAATCAATTAGTCATTCGGCTCATGTTTTTTGGTGGAAGTGCAAAACGGCTGCTGCATTTGCCTTTAAGAACCTTTGCTATGCTTGACAGTAATTACTTGAAGGTTTTTGAGACAGGATAAGGCTCTATAAAAATACATCCCCCCCAACTTCACTGTTGGCAAATCACAATCTTTGATTAATCTCCTTCAGACGCTAATCGATCTGGTGTATATTTGCCTCTTTCGTTTTATCTCTGATTTTCAAATAACTACCTTCCCAGTTCAATAAATGCCACATTTACGACTAAAACTTTGGACAGGTCTGTCATACTTTAAGAGCCTAATGGAAAAAGCAGAACATTTTTAAGAGGATGCAATGGAAACCATTATAAAATCAATAAAAGGCAAACATTACTTTTAGCGAACACTTCTATTGGTTTTTCAGTGAGGTTTCATTTTTGAGAAACAAATTTATGGAGCTTGAGTTCAAGATCATTTGAGGTTAAAAGGCAATTTGTATTGAAATTCCGCACAGAGCTCTCTTGATGGGTCAGTGAATTTATCCAGTACCTAGAGTGACACTGACTGGAAAAGTCCAGATTTCATTTCTGGACTGTACCGAGGGAGCATTGTCTGACAAAACACAGTCACTACACGACAGTAAATCCTCTAAAATACTTTGAAACAAAGAGGTTGAGAGGGGCAAGGCGGAGGGATTGAGGGAGAGAGTTCCAGAGTTTCGGAGAAAGTGGCTGAAGATAGTTTATCAATTTCAGATAGTTAGTAAATGAGCAAATGGGGGAGGTTAGAATTATTTTCACGCACAGAGTAAGTGCTCTGGGTGCTACCCTGTGTGAGGGGCGCTATATAAATGTAAGTTGTTATTCAGTAGTCAGGATATGGAATGACCTGCTAGGAATGGTGGTTGAGGCTGAATCCATATTAGCTTTCAAAAGGCAACTGGATAAATATCTAAAAGGGAGTATGAGTAAAGGGCAGGTAAATGAGACATTCTCCCAATGTGAAATGTATTATATGAAATGCAAGGATTAGAATTATTATATAGAGATGAGCTGGAGTAGTCCTAGGGCCACTACAATGGGCTCAGGACCAGATAGTGGAGGGGGGTGGGGGAGAGAATATCAGGCTGATCACATCCAGCAACTCTGTTAACGTCAGGTGAGTACAGAATTAGGCTGAAATGCATAATTCTGTCATCAGCATTCACCTCCAAGACTCACACATGAATAATAGTCTGTTGGTGACCTCAATCTCATAAGGATTTAATGGATTCTACTAAGAACTTGCAATAGGATCAAACAGATCCCAGCATTTGAGGGAGCTAGGTCAACACCGCTGCACTGGTTGTATTTGAAAGCTGATTAGAGCTGTGGCACACAATTTGATACTGTTGTGTACCTGTAGGAGTCCTCCTGAGTAATGGTTAGTACACTCACAAGCCTCACAAGCGCTGTATCAAATGCAAAGACTATTATTATATTATGATTAATAAAGACTTCCGATTACATTAGGACAATATTTCCACTGTAATATTCTGAAGCAATTTTTTTGGGGCCCAGCTGGGTGTCTGACACGAACAGAAACCCATTATCATGCTTAAGAGTATCCAAACCAAACTGAGATTTCCATGTATCCACCTATATATGGAAATCCCAGAGACAGATTGTTGGAATGGAATGTGCACTCTCTCCCTGAAGGGACGCATCCTGCATACCTAATTCCAGAAAGTATTAGGTTGGCAAGAGCCAAGGTTTGGGGACCCCACAGTGTGTGTTGGGGTACTGTTGGACTCTAACCAGCTAACACTGCATAGCTTGCCATTGATATCACTGCTGGTAAGCTTTCCTGCTGCTTGTCCAGCTAGGACCACCCTACCTGTTAGGGCTTTGGCTTGCAGGGTTAAAAGGAGTTGAGTGGGATGACTCCCTGCCTCCAGTGACTGGTCTGCCCTTCCAGGTCCTGGCAATGAGCCAGACTGGCTGTGCTGTCATCAGCAGTGCCATGGAATATTGCGGATGCGCCTGGCTCAGGAACCGCCACAGAAGGTTGGCTCAATTCCGATATTCCATTGCCAGCCATGTCACCTTGGAGCCAATTCAGTTCCAGTGAGACCTCGCTTACCTCCCCAACCCAGGAGGATAGTCACTAGTTGGTTGTTTGACATCCGACAAGCGCGGGTTTGAGTCCTTACTAGGTCGATGGTAGGTGGGCAACGCATCTCAGCATGAAATGCATGATAGCATCAGTGCCGTCTTCCTGCCAGCAGCTCAGGCACACATAGGAACAGGATTAGGCCATTCAGCGCTTCAAGCCTGTTCAGCGCCTTGGGACGTCCTCCCAACGTGAAAGGCACTCTATAAATGTAATTTTGTTGTTGTTGTTGTTCCGCGATTCAATTAGACCATGGCTGACCTGTACCTCAACTAATCCTGCCAATTCCAATTTCCCGCTTTCTCCCCATATCCATTAATACCCTGACCTACCAAAAATCTATCAATCTCACTCTTGAAGGTGTGGATGGATCCAACATCCATGACTTTTTTGAGGAGAGAATTCCAGATTTCTACCATGCTTTGAGTGAAAAGATGCTTTGTGATTTCACTCTTAAATGGCCTGGTTCTAATTTTAATACTATGCCCCTTGGTTTGGATTCCCCCACCAGAGGAAATAGCTTCTCTGTGACTACTCTATCGAATCCCTTTATAATCTTAAAAGACCTCAATCAAGTCACCCCTCAACCTTCTAAACTCAAGGGAATACAATCCAAGTTTATGTAGCCTTTCCTCGTAACTTAACCC